CAATTTCTAGTTCTCTTAATTTCGGCCAAAGTTTCATCATTGTATTTAGCCAAAGTTTTTAACAAGATGCTTAGAACACTCCTTAATTTATCTTCCCTTAATCGATTATGCAAAATGGAATTATGAATACAATCGAGCAGTAATTTATCAAAAACAATAATCATTAAATAGTTAATTGGGAGTGTTTGCCATTGGAGAACTTGATTAGACTATCAAAAGGAATTTTGGCAATTTCCTTTTCAGATTTAAGGGATTTACGAGCATCCTTTCAAGGTTTATTTTGAGTTTTTTGAGACAGGATATAAGGTTCGGTGTGGTGATATTGCTTAAAAACTTTATCAGCATAACCAATGGCCAACTTGCAGCTTAAATCCTCCATCTTAGCAAAAAATTTATCCAGTTTATCATAATGGTCGAACATTTTATTCGCTACTGACTCAACCACTGGTCCATTGGGTCAGGCTTGTCACTCTTCTTCAAAAAGTAAATAACCATCCTTTAAGGCTTCGAGATAGGAAAGATAGATTAGTTTTTGCGAAAGAGCCATATCTTCAATACCTTTTTCATAAAAATACTTCGCTACTGACAAAGGATTTAAATTTAATTGTTTTAGTTTGGTTGTTCGGCTCATATAATATTATAATTTTATTTTAGCCTATAAGGCTTTGAAATACAAGTTATTATCAAAAAAATACTTATGAATAACTTATCCATTTTTGATACTCATTGCCATTTGGTCGATAAAGAATACTACCAACAGAATCTAAACACAAAACAAATAATCCAAGCCGCTGCTGCCGCAGGGGTAAAATATATACTGAATGTTGGCTACGATAAGGAGAGTAATCAAAAAGTAATAGAACAGTTAAAAGAATTTCCTAGTCTGTATGGAGCCTTGGGTTTACATCCAAACAGCAACGAGGACTTGACGGAAGAAAATTTACTCTGAATAGAAAAACAATTGACTAATCAAAAAATTATCGCTATTGGAGAAATTGGTTTGGATTATTATCGCACTTTTACGGATATTGACAAACAAAAATACTGGTTTAAACGACAATTAGAGTTAGCCAAAAAATACGATTTGCCCGTGTTATTACATATTAGAGAGGCTTTTGCTAATGCTTACGAAATAGTGAAAGAAAGTGAAATAAAAAAAGGTATTCTTCATTGCTTTACCGGCAATTGGGAGATAGCCGAAAAGTTCATTAACTTGGGATTTTACGTTTCTTTTGCGGGCAATATCACATATAAAAATGCTAAATGGAAAGAAAGATGAGGACAAGTAATAGAAAAAATCCCTCTGGAAAGGATAGTTATAGAGACCGATGCTCCTTATTTAACTCCTGAACCTTTTCGGGGACGAATTAATTATCCGCAAAATATAATTCATACTTTAACCAAAATTGCTGAAATCAAAAAAATGGATGTAAAAGTGGCAGCAGAGAAAATTTACTTAAATACTTTAAGAGTACTGGGAATAAATCTACCAAAATCAAAATAAATTATCTGATTGACCTGTTCCAAATACAACTTGCCGGGACTTCTACAAATGAATGATACTCTTCTTGAATATTAATATTGACAAAATTATTGTCAAGTAAATAA